TGATTTCTGTTTCGATTATGCTGGGACGCACAATCAAAGATGAACAGAGACGTCTAGATTCAGAGAAAATAAAAAGAAGAAAATTTGAAAATTAGACTATACAGCACGTTGAATGCGGTGCGAAATGATAATGTAAGAAGAGCACTTTCAGAAATTTTGATTACCGGAAATCTTGATTCCAGCAGCTGCAACTAACCAAAGAGCAGCTGCGAATAAGCAAAAATCATGTCATTTTTCCGACAACTAAATTAAAACTATGAAATTATGAAACTTTTTTGACTTCACCACACATGCAAAAACTGAGACAGAAATTCTATGTATCGAATATGGAAGCCTACTGCAACCATGCAATTACAAAACCCTAGTAATTTAGTTTCTAGACTGAAAAAAATCATCTCAAAAAATCAGAATTTAACTATGGCCTGCCTCTTTGACAATGCTGAAGATTAAATTGGAATATGTAAAAAAAAACTTTGCGCTTAGGTCCATCCTTGATACAAAACCCGACGCTGAAGTTGTTACGGCGGTGACTCCTATGTTAAGCGGCGATGTGGTTGTGAAAAGGATCCACGAGCGGAATGATGCAGCTCGCAGTCAAGAACACGGTAGGATTACCTGATATGAAATGGAATGAAGTTTGCTTACCATCTCAACCCTTCTTTAGAAGTTCCCTTAACAAGTGACCATGGAGATGAAGAGTATGCTGAACGGGATGAAGAAGAAGACCAAGTTGTGTCCGTGCAGCCTGTACAACCCAAGGAAGCATCTGCAGAAGTCGGAAACACTACGATAATTCCTTATCTGGGTATCGATTGGTCGGATCGAGAAACGATTATACTAATCTACAGCTTACTTTTTGGTTTTGCTATATTCTTCTTAATGTGCTTATTGATTTGCTATGTTTGGTGCAGAAAAAGGAGACAATCGCATGATTTTAAGACAAATTATTAAAATGCTTTCAATGCTATCTATTCTTCATATTCCTGATTATTCTATTTTTTTCTTTACAAGCCTCTTTTCCTCCAAAAATGGATTGGATGGACTTGGCTAATTTCTCTGTTCCAGCTGTTCTCCCACGCACTGCCAAGCGAGGGGTGCTCAGTCGTTGCCTCGCTCTATTCATATCTCTGCAATCTAGACTAGTCCAAAGAGCTAAAGAAAACTCGCTTATTCGAAAATTCATATCGGGTATAACCAAAAACGTAGCGATACATCTAAAAGTAATTTTAACACATACTGTAGTGTGCTCAATATTTGTTTGCATTCTTGTAAATAATGAAAATAGTGGTCAATAAACATTTCTAAAAAGATATTCTGCTATCTTGATTCA